AGTCTCAGTTCGCGATTCTAAAAAATGTCTTGGCAGTCAATCAGGTCAGTTCACTACCTCCAGACTGACAGTTTGAACCGCAAAGATGAACTGACAACTGACTGATTGACTGATAGCAACTCTGAGCTCGACTCTTTGCTCACGTGTCGCCCCCCCTGTTCTCCTCATCTTCTTCTTTGTAGACTTTATCTGATACTCTAGCTCATCCTTCCAGGACTGCGTCTTTGCTTCATTCTCGAAACGGGTCTTCTCTTCAGCAGCAATTTTCTCAGGGGAAGTCCAATACGAGTGAGCGATACACAAAGCTTTCTGTATCTTTCCAGCCAGTGGTTCGGATAGCAACACCGCGGCAACAGTCCCCTGATCCTCAGGAACGTCTATGAGTCTCGCTGATCCATTGGTACATACCAATTTGTCTTTTCCTTCTACCGTCCATCGACGATAGATACTGTCTAGTTGGTTGGAATGATAGTCAGGCTCGTAATCAGAATAGAAAAGGTGGTGATGCTCCATGTCAGGCAGTACAAGATGGAATGATGACGGATTTCGGTGAGACGTAAGCTTGGATAAAGGAGTTTTAACGACGATGAGGAGAATGATGATATAGACCTGGACAAAGGAAGTGAAAACCCCACATTCATCCGCTTTAAGGAACCCAGTGTCATTACAACAAAGACAGCCGAATTCTTTCACGAGGTTCATTCACACATACGGTTTTGTCCTGTCCTACAACTGTCAGCGAAATCACGGGATTAGGCTACGTTCATCATCCAATTCACGAAGTATGAGCCTCGATATACCGGGAGTCAGATGCAATGACCCCCGTCATTCACTCGGATCGATGTAATTGTAAGGCCTGCATGTACCTCAGCAGTGTTCTTCCCACAACTGCAGTTTTTATGACCCCATCGACACGAACACTCAACCGCGGTGAATCTTTCTCAACCACAACTTGACGCATAGAGGGCGAAGATCTGATCATGCCTCATCGACGCCAATCAGTAGACCAGCCTTCAGATGATCATCGTCCGCATACCCGGCACGCTGACACCGAATCTGGATCACCATATGGCTTCCTCGACTACAATGAACCAGGAGAGTCTAGCCATCGAGGTCGATCGTCTTCACCTCGGCAATCGCCCCGCCGAGATGAAGTTCAAGGGTATCGTAGAAGATCCCGCGATCGATCTTATAGCAGATCTCTAAGTCCCGAACATCGTCGTAGACGCCCTAATCCTGAACCTCGTCGCGAGCAGGAAACACAACGAGGACGACGTGGCGCTTCTGACCGTTGGCGCCCAGCAAGATCACCATACAGGCATTACAATGTGGGCTACACTATCACAGATCATAACCAAGGGAAGAGTTTCAACTGTGGGCCAGAATACTTCATGAAACCAGAAGTTCTGCAAGACGTGACAGGAAGATATGGCCCTGTCGATGTTGTGTCCGTTCGACATAGCGACTTCTCTTACGACAATCAAGCGGAGATTGGAGCGAGGTTTACACTGTCCTCCGAAGGCAGACTATACATCAAGAAAGATGTTCCCTTCATCCTTTTCAAAGTGGAGCCTGGCTATGGCATTGGCTGGCTGGGTCGCAGCGCGAGTAGTCGCGGCTTAAGAGGCATGCATCGGATTCCAGAGTCGGACTATCCAAAGTATATGGGGGTAGCCACTCAGGGTGATCTAGCCGGACCTGCTGGGAATGACAGTCCACATGACCAGCTTCAAGTGGTACCAGTGGTTGGATCTGAACGCCTTTATCCCACGACCCATATCCTCGTTAGTGAGTTGGTAAAGGTTCCTATACCACGGATCCATAAGCACTGGGGACGACTTGGCTTCGACAGTTACTACCGATTAGTATGCCTGATGAACTTTCTCACGGCAGGACCTTTGTCACTGAATGCAAGCCCAGACTCGATCCCGAAGGATATTGGCTTGGACATTGATGCACTGAGGACATTACGGAGTGCGAATGACTGTTTGGTGGGAGATTGGGCAGAACGACTTGCAGCTTACGCTGACAGCCATCCACTGAATTCAGCAAGCACACAATCACGCGTCGATAGTCCACAAGCGCAAGCTCGACCGCAACAAGCAAGAGCTAGACCACAGCTTCAAGCGCCGTCAAAAGAGTTCCGTCCACCTCCTGCTGTGCGCTCGGTTCCGGGAAATCAAGAGAGTAAGAACTCGTCGCCAATGCCAGGTCCGAATCGAGCTACAAACAAAGTTGGCCAACCTCCGGCAACTCCAAATACCTCAAGTCACCGTGCAACCCAAGCTCCTAAAGCGCCGGGAGCAACTGCTCGAGACGAAGCTCAATCGGATCCGCAAGCGGACATTCGCCAAGCTCACGTTGTTGACGCAAGCGCGAAGGGTGGTGTAGCTAGTGCAATAGGATCGACACGTGACATCGATGCAGGTGTGTACAATGCGTCGGTGCACAACGAACAGCACAACCTGTTCAGGGTAGAAAGCGGGGAGAGCAGTGGATCTGAAGAAGGGGAGATCCTTGAATAGTTGTGTTTAGAAGTATTCAAAGGACAGGACGAGAAGACAGGAGTTTTTAGAGTTCATCGAAGCCAGTACTTCATAACGTTCACGCAAGACGGTCCTATGAGATAGCCTCAAAAGCAATCGTCTTTTGTGTTGCCGACTTTAGCGAATACCAAAATATCATTACAACAAGATCGCAAGCCAATACTCGCCGCATTATGTCTGTCTTTGCGTACTTAATCATGTACGCACTATACAGGAAACGGCTGTTCTGACGCGTCACCGTGTTATAATGCCAATTTATGGTCTCACCGTAGATACAGGCTAAGTATGATACGAAGGTCCGTGGTGATTTAATGAGGCTGGTTAGCAGACACGTGAAAGAAAGGTAGCGATGCGGCTCTTCTTCCAGCCAGGGCTGTCTGCCAAGATATCGGAGATTGCCGGCGTCGATCATCACAATTCAAGCAAGCATCGCTCGTCAACCACAGCAAGAGCGCCAGCTTCCTCTCCACGGGCTACACAGCATGCTTTGGGTAGTTGCTCGCCTTTCCACCATCGCGCCGATATAGACCATAGACATTCGCTCCTACGACAGCTCGCATTCCATCGCTTCCGCCAACTACGTCACGCGCAAACAATGGGCATCTGCTCGTCGTGTTTAGGAGGGCGAAAGACTTCCGAGGCAGACGTGAGTCCTGTCATACTGTTTGCTGTCGCTCTATGCATATCGCTGACACTTTCTTGCAGCACTCGGATAGCTCGCACTTGCTCGGAGACCCTTACCAGCCCAACTATGGTACCGCCAGTAGCACCCACAACGCGCCCCAGCCCGACCCAGAGGAGCTTCGCCGTCAGCGAGAGAACCTGGAGCGCATTTGTGCTGAGACGAACGAGTGAGTCCTAGCTTCCTCATCCTCCGCCGCTCCTTCTTCATAGCCCTCCTTCCCAGCCATCGCACTTTCCTCCATCTTAATAAGAGCATGACGCTCATCTGTTACAGGCAACTGATCCCCGTCTCTCAACCGAGCGCCCTCCCGGAAGTCACCCAACAACCCTCCAAGAACGACGAGTACGCCCATCTCTTCAACGAGCGCTTCAAGTCGATACGAACAGAGCGCCCATCCTCCGCCGGTGACAACGAAGATGACGAGACCACTTGGCTTGAGAACGCTGTCGGCAACCAGGGCGAGGATGAACTGGACGAGATCAAGCCAGCTAAGGGACAGCTGACAATCCAGTTCGGTCAAAGATAGAGACGCCTATACCGCAGGACCCGTAGTCGGTTTCACCTTCTGGACTCCTAGCCTGGGCTGAGGCTCTTCGCACCTTTTCATATTGTTCTACATTGCATGAGCGCCAACACGGATACCCATAATCTTTCCTTTCTGTTGTCTTTCTATCTTGACATGAAGCCTCCTCTTACGTCTTTCTAAGTACTAGCATAATCATGTCTGTCTCATTAACATGGTTGGCAAGCGAGTGAGCCAGGCAAGCGAGTGAGCCACCCCACCAACTTTGCGCACCTCTACACGTGTATATCTCAACCACCTTACAAGATAATATATAGATAATAACAGAGTATACTA